TACTATATTCGGGAATTAGTGGATATTTTTGTGGTTGGCCAGCAGTGTCCCTTGTTTGAAGTTCCTGGGCCTAACTCCAAAAGGGCCAATACACATATTCGAGACTTTCTACAGGTAAGAATGGGAGGATAGGGAGGGGATTGGGTTGTATATAGAAAGGGTATGTTGGGGCTGGGCACCGTCGCTCACGGCTGTAATCTCAGCACTTTGGGAGGCCGAGGCGAATGGATCACTTGAGGTCAGGAGTTCGAGACCAACCTGACCAACATGGTGAAACCCTATCTCTACTAAAAATACAAAAATTAGCCGGGCGCGGTGACTCACACCTGTAATCCCAGCACTTTGGGAGGCCAAGGCGGGCAGATCACCTGAGGTCGGGAGTCTGAGACCAGCCTGATCAACATGGAGAAACCCCATCTCTACTAAAAATAGAAAATTAGCCAGGTGTGGTGGCACATGCCTATAATCCCAGCTACTCGGGAGGCTGAGGCAGGAGAATCGCTTGAACCCAGGAGGCGGAGGTTGCAGTGAGCCGAGATCGCAGCATTGCACTCCAGCCTGGGCAACAAGAGTGAAACAGTCTCCAAAAAAAAAAAAAAAATTTAACTGGGGCGTGGTGGTGTACACCTATGGTCCCAGCTACTCTGGAGGCTAAGGCAGGAAAATCACTGGAGCCTGGGAGGCAGAGGTTGCAGTGAGCACTGCACTCCACTCTGGGTGACAGAGTGAGTCTCCGTCTCAGAAAAAGTGGGGTGTGTGGCTTTGGGAGCACATCAGAAAAGATGAAAATACATTAGAGCTTAGCAAGGGAAGAGGCCCTAGTGAGGACTTTCATCCTTTTCTTTGCCAACTAAAATACACTTGGTTTGTTGGGCAGGTTTTTATTTACCGCCTTTTCTGGAAAAGTAAAGATCGGCCACGGAGGATACGAATGGAAGATATAAAAAAAGCCTTTCCTTCCCATTCAGAAAGCAGCATCCGCAAGAGGCTAAAGCTCTGCGCTGACTTCAAACGCACAGGTCATCTGTTGTGACTAGTTATTTGACTGCCTTTTTCCAAGAAAAGAATTTTGATGGCTTTGAGTTAAAGGATAAGCATATAGTTAATAAAATAGAAATTGATGACCGTTGAAAGGCGGTAGCAGATCTTCTAACGCTCTGGTTGCTTTTTTGAATTTGGCTGCCAGGAAGTTTAATGTGATTGTTGGATATCTTCTATGAGTTGTAGGAAACTTAGCAGCTGGGGTTTTCTTGGCCAGTCATGCCAACTGTGGCTAGGCCTGTTACAGTTTTGGTTTACTGTCCCTGTTGCTGTCAATAAATATCAGGGCCTTTGGAATTCAGAATGGTCTCATTCTCTATGTGTATGTCTTTTCCAGGGATGGACTCAAACTGGTGGGTGCTTAAGTCTGATTTTCGTTTACCAACGGAAGAAGAGATCAGAGCTATGGTGTCACCAGAGCAGTGCTGTGCTTATTATAGCATGATAGCTGCAGAGCAACGACTGAAGGTGAACACCTTCCTCTCAGACACCACTTATGCCTGTGGTTTTTTTTTTTCTTCCTCCCCAGAGAGATGAGAGAGAAGACTCTCTCTCTCGCTGGCTTAGGGAGGATGGTTACTAGATTATTACCAATTACTAAAAAGTTGAATTTGTGTAAATTACTTCCTATGTACATGAGTTCTGGAGAAAAACTGCAGTGTAGCTGAATATCAGTGGGAAGGCATAACCAGGAACTTTGGGCATATTGTTTTGCTTTGAAAATGGTGACTGGGTGACTTTAATCTCTTCTTTGCAAGATAAGCATATAAGCAGGGAAAGTACTTGTCAGCCTCTCGGGTAGGCAGAGATGATGATGGTGCTGAATGTGTGGTTTAGAGAAGCACAGAATTCTTACAAGGCCGAAAGAGAAAAGGTCTAGCTGGGGTGGGACAGCACAGCTCTGTCCCACTGAGTTAATGAGTCTCAGTTATTGAGCATCTCTGTTCAGCTTGCTTATGGGCTGTAACTATCTGTACATCAGCTAGTAAGCTCTTTGGCATGTGGTAATGTATCTTCTCATAGCTTAGGGATGTACCATGGTGCTAGATATAGTGAAGACTTTATGGAATCCATCTATGCAAAATAGGCTTTGGTATTCTGTACTTGTATTCAGTAAAAAAAAAAACTTGTGCTTTGTGTTTTTTAACTGACTGATTTATGCATGGATCTGTCCTCTTCCAGGATGCTGGCTATGGTGAGAAATCCTTTTTTGCTCCAGAAGAAGAAAATGAGGAAGATTTCCAGATGAAGATTGATGATGAAGTAAGGCTTTATACTAGTTTGTATTAGTCATTAATACATTTCATTTATCCTTTTAAAAGAGACAGCTTTATTGAGATAAAATTAACATACAATAAACTGTACACATTTAAAGTATACTATTTCATGTTCTTGCTTTATTCATGCCAGAAAAAATGATGTGATATATCAAATACTGTACTTTATATGATATGGTGTTTTCTTTTTTTTTTTTTTCTTTGACGGAGTCTTGCTCTGTTGCCCAGGCTGGAGTGCAGTGGTGGCGGGTCCTCGACTCACTCACCTTCACCTCCCGGGTTCCCGCGATTCTTGTGATTCTCCTGCCTCAGCCTCTCAAGTAGTTGAAATTACAGTTGCATGCCACCATGCCCAGCTAGTTTTTTGTATTTTTAGTAGAGACGGGGTTCCACCATGTTGACCAGACTGGTCTCGAACTCCTGACCTTAAGTGATCCTCGTGCCTTGGCCTCCCAAAAGTGCTGGGATTACAGGCATGAGCCACTGCGCCTGGCAGGATTTTCATTTCTTCTAGAAAAAAGACTGACCTGATTTATAAGGCTCCACATGATTTTGACCTTGCATATTAATCTGACCTCCTTTCATCTTCTGTCACTGCCTGTCTTATATTCTAAGCTCCAACCATACCGAAGTTCATTCAGTTTCCTAAATTTCTCTCCCCTTCCAGAATTTTGCAACTGTTATGTCTTCTGTGGAGATATTTTTTCTCCACTCTGCCATTTGACTCTCATCTACAAGTTATTTTCTCTGGGAAGCTTTCCTGGACTTTTCCCCTCATTCCACCCTAAGTTTCGATTGGATGATAATTCTCCTTTCATTATGTACATATAGTACCCCTTTACTTTTTTTTTTCCCAAGACAGGGTCTTGCTCTGTTGCCCAGGCTGTACTGTGGTGAGATCACAGCTCACTGTAGCCTTGAACTCCTGGGCTCAAGCAGTCCTTCTACCTCAGCCTCCCGAGTAGCTGGGACAACAAGCACACACCACGATACCCAGCTAATAGTTTAAATTTTTTGTAGAAATGGGGTCTCACGGCCGGGCACGGTGGCTCATGCCTGTAATCCCAGCACTTTGGGAGGCCAAGGCAGGTGGATCACCTGAGGTCAGGAGTTCAAGACCAGCCTGGCCAACATGGTGAGACCCTGTCTCTACTAAAAATACAAAATTAGCTGGGCGTGGTGGCGCATGCCTGTAATCCCAGCTACTTGGGAGGCTGAGGCAGGAGAATCACTTGAACCTGGGAAGTGGAGGTTGCAGGGAGCCGAGACCACGCCATTGTACTCCAGCCTGGACTAAAAGAATGAATCTCCGTCTCAAAAAAAAAAAGGAAAGAAAGAAAGAAATGGGGTCTTACTGTGTTGCCCAGGCTGATCTTGAACTCCTGGGCTCAAACAATTATCCTGCCTTGGTCTTCTAAACTGTTGTGATTATAGGCATGAACCACTGTGCCTGGCCTCCTTTACTTTCTTACCATGGTACTGATCACAATATTACTGAACTTGGTTGGTTGTTTTTCCCTCACTGACTTGAGGTTCATGAAAAAGTAGCATGGAGTAGTGTGTAGTTGGTATTCAGTAAATATTCGTTAAATGAATTAAGTGATTATAAAATGAAGCAGAAAATGAGGCCACAGAGAGTGAGTAAAGAATCGTTGTACTATTTTGAGGTTGGAATGAAAAATGAGTGGATATCTAAGAATTTCAGAAATTAAGAATTCTATTGAGGCCAGGTGCAGTGGCTCAGGCCTGTAATCCTAGCACCTTGGGAGGCCAAGGTGGGAGGATTGCTTGAGGCCAAGGGTTCAAGACCAACCTGGCCAACATAGTGAGACCCTATCTCTAAAAAAGAAAAACAATTTTTTTTAATTAAAAAGAAAAGAAGAATTCTGTTGAATGGCTTTTAATATTGTATCTTAGAGAATTGGCCGTTTTCTTGCTAATCATATATACTCTTTTTTTTTTTTTGAGACAGAGTCTCACTCTGTCGCCCAGGCTGGAGTGCATTGGCGCAGTCTCTGCTCACTGCAACCTCTGCCTGCTGGGTTCAATCTATTCTCGTGTCTCAGCCTTCTGAGTAGCTGGGACAATAGGTGTGCGCCACCACATCTGGCTAATTTTTGTATTTTTAGTAGAGATGGGATTTCACCATGTTGGCCAGGCTGGTCTTGAACTCCTGGCCTCAAGAGATCTGCCCGCCTCGGCCTCCCAGAGTGTTGGGATTACAGGTGTGAGCCCCCGCACCTGGCCTTATGTGTACTCCTGACTGGTCTGTGTGGGCAGGCACATTCACCCCTTGGCTTAATTCTTTAAGAATTTTGCAGGGGTTGGTAAACACTATTCAGGGTCGCAGGAGAGGACAGACCTTTTTGACCAAACCAGTGGCAGAAATAGAATGGACTTTGGTTCAGTGTCACTGGAATAGGGGGCCAGTGCTTTGAATGCAAGCATATCGACTATTTCGAGAAAATAGGTTTCATTCTAAAACAGCTATTTGAGCAGTTGGACAATCAAATGTAGTCATTAGTCTAATTTTGAGCATCATGAGGATGAGGGAAACACTATCTTTAAGAATGCTTATTGAAGCCCAAGGGATAAGGGGCTGAAGGGATACCACTGTTCTTTATTTTTCTCCTTATCCTGGCTGAGCTCTTGACCTCTATTTAATATCATGTTGTAAGTATTGTACCATAGGATAGAAGAGAACTGAGTACTAGGTAGCTATATTTAACTGTTGATTTTTGTGGACAGTTAAGAAAGCACGAACCCACAAAAATTAAACATTAGAAAAAAAAGAACGTGAAATAGTTTGTAATTATTCTACTCTTGTGGATATTGGCTAGACATAGAACAAATGTTTCCCACTGCCCTGAGAATCTTCTTCTTTATCTCAGGTTCGCACTGCTCCTTGGAACACCACAAGGGCCTTCATTGCTGCCATGAAGGGCAAGTGTCTCCTAGAGGTGACTGGGGTGGCAGATCCCACAGGGTGTGGTGAAGGATTCTCCTATGTGAAGATTCCAAACAAACCAACACAGCAGAAGGTGGGATTGTGTTTATTTCTAGAATGAGAAAGTCAGGGGAGAAAGAAATGGGTGAGTGGAGGACTTGGAATATAGTTAAGTTAGCAGAATGACTTAGATTCCTACTTACAAGGAATTCAGGTTTTTAGGATTCTCACTTTTTTTGGTTTGAGGTAGGATGATAAAGAACCGCAGCCAGTGAAGAAGACAGTGACAGGAACAGATGCAGACCTTCGTCGCCTTTCCCTGAAAAATGCCAAGCAACTTCTTCGTAAATTTGGTGTGCCTGAGGAAGAGGTGAGTGTGGAAGTGGAAAACTTAGAGGATACTAGGGGCTTTGTATAGAGAGGGAATTGCTAGGAGGCAGATGTATAGAACTATCTGTGTAACTTTGTATTGTAGGGTATAGTAGGATATAGTAAGCTAGGTCTTAGATATTGTTTCAGGAGTTATCTTTTTATGTAATCTGCTTTGGGATGATTTTTCTTTTTTGGTCTAACTAATTGTGTACATTGGCTTGTCCTTTGAAATCCCTGAATGATTTTTGTGTGTATATATGTGTGTGTGTGTGTGTGTGTGTGTGTGTGTGTGTGTATATGTATGTGGCTATTTGTCTTGCAGATTAAAAAGTTGTCCCGCTGGGAAGTGATTGATGTGGTGCGCACAATGTCAACAGAACAGGCTCGTTCTGGAGAGGGGCCCATGAGTAAATTTGCCCGCGGATCAAGGTTTTCTGTGGCTGAGCATCAAGAGCGTTACAAAGAGGAATGTCAGCGCATCTTTGACCTACAGAACAAGTGGGTCGTTTTAGTGCTGCAGAAAATCCAAGCTGGAAAGGGGAGGAGTTCCAGGCACTATTTCATAATAAAGAGGAGGTCACCTAAAAGTTTGACTACCTAGGTAGTCAGATATCCGACGTGTCAGGGTAGTATCTGTTTGTAATACCACCACCAGAGTACCTATTTCCTTCAACCCAACTTGGCAAAATTTTTGAATGGAAAGAGATGCTAGTCTTGTGTTCTAGGTTCCATGACAACTCTTATGGCCTACTTGGGCCTAACAAACAGCACAATGGTAGCAGGTGACAGGTGGGGTTTTTTTCTAAAGGTTTAGTTGTGAGAGGACGTTAATACACTGCTAAAAATGACCAGTGTGCTGATTTATTTATCAAATTGTCTCCAGGAATTCTGAAAGAGTTACTACAGTTTTTCAAACTTGTCTTGTTGACCAAATGTGTTGGAAAACTTTGTAAAGCTTTTCTGTTAGGGGCCCCATGTCTTAGTGGATTTTGAGTATGCCTTTTTAAGGTTGATTTCCCAATTTTTTACTTTTGCCTGCAACCATATTTCTTTAGCTCTTTCTGCACATTGCTTTTTTCTCTTTTTAGGGTTCTGTCATCAACTGAAGTTTTATCAACTGACACAGACAGCAGCTCAGCTGAAGATAGTGACTTCGAAGAAATGGGAAAGAACATTGAGAACATGTTGCAGAACAAGAAAACCAGCTCTCAGCTGTCACGTGAACGGGAGGAGCAGGAGCGGAAGGAACTACAGCGAATGCTACTGGGTAAGGATAGTGGCTTCACAGACAGATAAAAAAGAGGATTTAAAAAGGAGCCTAAATAACCGCAGACTATAATTGAGGGAGATCTGGAGGCAGAAGATGTAGAGGATGCATGTAGAAAAGTCTGTGAATGAAGTAGAAAGCTTTTCACAATCTGGACTCTAGGATTGTCTGTGGAGGACAAATTTCAGAGATGATGCCACTCCACTACTGCCTCTGTCTGTATCAGGTGCCTGGCCAAGCCTGGGCTATCAGTGCTGTACTTCAAATGAGCTTTTTGTGCATTTATCCTAGAGGGTAAGAGTTTTTAATACAGAATTTGTAAATGAATTTAGGCAGTTATCTTTGAAACTTCTGAAATTACGTGTAAAATATGCATATGTGCATTTTATTATTTTTTTGTTTTGGAGACAGGGTTTCATTCTGCCACCCAGGCTGGAGTGCACTGGTACAATCTTAGCTTACTGCAGCCCCCGCCTCCCAGGCTCAAACGATCCTCCTGCCTCAGCCTCCTGAGTAGCTGGGACTATAGGTGCATACCACCATGCCTGGCTAATTTTTGTATTTTTTGTAGAAACGGGATTTCACCATGTTGCCCAGGATGGTCTCGAACTCTTGTGCTCAAAGTGATCCGCCTGCCTCAGCCTCCCAAAGTGTTGGCATTAAAGGCATGAGCCACCGCGCCTGGCCTTAAATGTGCATTTTCTGAGAACATCCATGGCTTTCAGAAGACCCTCAGAAGGAGTCTTAGACCCTGAAAAGAGTTTTAAAATTGTAGAAATTGAGGGTAGGAATAATAAAGACCTGAATTGAGTTGGGATATGGAGGGCATTAAGGATGAAAATCAGGACAACCTTAAGATTTCACTCTGAGATTACTAGAAAGATGTTGGTACCATTGATTAGAGTAGTGAATTTCAAGGTCTGACGTGGTGGCTCATGCCTGTAATCCCAGCACTTCGGGAGGTCAAAGTGAGAGGATCACATGAGCCCAGGAGTTTGAGACCAGCCTGGGCAACATGGTGAAACCCTGTTTCTACAGAAAATACAAAAATTAGATGTGGTGGCAGGCACCTATAATTCCAGCTACTCGGGAGGCTGAGGTGGGAGGATCACTTGAGCCTGGGAGGTAGAGGTTGCATTGAGTTGAGATTGCGCCACTGCACTCCAGCCTGGGTGACAGGGTGAGACCCTGTCTCAAAAGAAGTTAGGAAGGGAATGTGTAGTATGTGGAGTTTGAGGTCCCTTTGACACCCTTGAAGTATACGTGTCAAAGAGGCAGTTGAAAACTTGAATGTAGATATTGCAAGAGAGGATAAAGGCTGATGATGAAGATTTATATGACTTCTCAGTCACAGTAGTCTTCCCTTTGTTTCCTCTTTTCTGTGTAAGTTTTGTGTAATTTCATTGTTTTGGGTGGTTTGTAAAAATGTGATATAGCCCTTCCACCAATGTGGTCTTCTATGTTTTCTAGTGTAGTCCTGAAACACAGTATCTATATCATTTGGGAATTAGAAATGTGGAATCTCAGGCCTCACTCCACATCTACTAAATTAGAACCTACATTTGTGGCTGGGTGCGGTGGCTCACGCCTGTAATCCCAGCACTTTGGGAGGCCAAGGTGGGCGGGTCACCTGAGGTCAGGAGTTTAAGACCAGCCTGGCCAACATGGTGAAACCCCATCTCTACAAAAATTAGCCGGGCATGATGATGGGTGCCTGTAATCCCAGCTACTTGGGAGACTGAGGCAGGAGAATCGCTCGAACCTGGGAGGCAGAGGTTGCAGTGAGCTGAGAGTGCGCCATTGAACTCTACCCTGGGCGACAGAGTAAAACTCTTGCCTCAAAAAAAAA